CCTTCAACATTTCATGTAATACTGCTTTGGTGGTGATAAACTCCTTTAGCTTTTTTTTTTCTTTGTGAAGGTCTTTATCTGATGCTTAGTTCTAAATGAGAGTTTTGTTGGGTAGAATAATCTTGGTTATAGGTCCTTGCTATTCATCACTTTGAATATTTCTTGCCATTCCCTTCTGGCCTGCAAAGTTTCTGTTGAGAAGTTAGCCAACAGTCATATATATGGGCACTGTCTTGTAGCTAACTAATGCTTTTTTTGCTGATTTTAAGAGAAAATTCTCTCTTTGTCTTTAACCCTTGGCATCTATATAATAAAAGCCTAAGCGATCATTACGGAGGAATGACCAGAATGACCAGTCACTATGATACGCACTGACCACCATGGGGTAAGATGCTCAATGCAGGAGTTACCCCCTGGTGGTCAGTGCGGTCCACAGGGGGAGCGCCGCTCAGCCAGATGCTGGGCTCATGGCTGGCAAGCGCAGTGGCGGTGGCAGGAGCCTCTCCCGCCTCCGTGGCAGCGTTAAGGAGCAGCAAGCCAAGCGCATAAGGAGCAGTGAGCAGGTGGGCAGTAAGGAGAGAGGGGTCCCGGACTGTGAGAGGGCGCAGGCTGGGCTGAGGGACCCTTCTACCCCCAGTGCATGAATTTCGTGCACCAGGCCTCTAGTTTTAATTATGATGTGTCTTGGTGTGGACCTCTTGGGGTTCCTCTTGTTTGGGACTCTGCACTTCCTGGACACATAAGTCTATTTCTTTCACCAGGTAGGGGAAGTTTTCTGTCATTATTTCTTCAAAGAAGTTCTAAATATCTTTATCTCTCTCTTCTCCTTCTGACACCCCCGTAATGCAATTGGTATGCTTGAAGTTATCCCAGAGGCTCCTTACACTAGCTTCATTTTTTTGGATTTTTTTTTTTTTCTCTTCTGCTTGGGTGTTTTTTGCTTCCTCATATTTGTTGATTTGCTTCTTGGAATCCTCTACTCTACTGTTGAATCCCTGTAAATTATTTCAGTTAATGTATGCTTAATTTCTGACTGGTCCTTTTTCATGCCTTTTACATTCTCACTTAGATCCTTGAAAGTCTTATAAAGATCCTTGATTAACCTTACAACTATGGTTTTGAATTCTGTATCCAGTAGTTTGCTTGTTTCTATGTTTCTTTGTCTCCGCATTTTGGCTGCTTCCCTGTGTTTGTTTCTATGTATAGATAGAGCTGCTATGTCTCCTGGGTTTGGGGGTCTGGTCTGGGGCTGGGATCCCGTGCTCCTCACAGGCTGCCTCCACAGAGACAATCTTTCACCAGATTAAGCACACATAGGTGTTGGAACAGCCCATTCCCTGCCTCCAGCCCTCCTACCAGTCTCAATGTGCTTTCTTCTTTATTTCTCTAGTTGTACAACTTCCAATCAACTAGCTTTCAGGCAGTTCTGAATGATGGTTGTTCTGTATTTTAGTTGTAATTTTGATATGGTTCGATAACACCTTATTTTAAAAGCACCAGGTCAGAGTTTAAGATGTTTTATAGTCAGTTAAGTCTTAATCTATTTTGTATGTAGGTCTTTATTTATTTATTTATTTTTAAATTCTTTATTGCTTAAAGTATTACATATTGTATTACATATGTCTCCTTTTTCCCCCATTGACCTCTCCCCGGCCACCTCCACCCCCCAGCACATGCCCTCACCCCCTTAGTGTCCGTGTCCATTGGTTATGCTTATATGCATGCATACAAGTGTTTTGGTTGATCTCTTACCCCCCACCCCAGTCTTTATTTTTTTAATATCAACAATTCATGAAAATATTGGCACAATTGGGGGAGAGGCAAAAAGTAAATTATTCAAATAATTAGTTATGGCAGTGGTCAGGCTGTAATTTTTCTAATCAGTTTCTTAGATGTAGGAAGAGAAAACAAACAGTAATGTCCACTTTTACTATTCTATTAAATTTAATTTCTAGAATTTACATATTATAGAACTAGTTTCATGTATTTTCATCATTGTAGCTTCTCATTAGTGTTCTGGTTTTTTCATAATTTCAGCCTAGAGATGTTGGACAAAGTTGAGCCCCCAACTATACCAGAAGGTTATGCCATGTCTGTGGCATTCCATTGTTTGCTAGACCTTGTCCGTGGCATCACTAGTATGATTGAAGGAGAGTTGGGAGAGACTGAAATGGAATGTCAGACTAGCAGTGAAGCTGCTTCTTCAACAACACAGTCATCAGAACAGCAAGAATTACAGTCAACAGCAGACGAAATGGATAAGGAAATAGGTGTGTTATTGTGATTCTATATTTGTAATTTTATTTGGAAATAATTTGAAATTTATAGAAAAGTTGCAAAAATAACAGAGTTCTCATATATTCTTCACCCTGATTTCCCAGTTGTTAACACCACCCTATTTGTGTTACCATTCTTTCTATTTATATACATGTCACTATACTTTTTTTCTGGACCATTTTAATAAGTTGCAGACATGAGGCCCCATTATCCCTTAATATTTTAATGTGTATTTTCTAGAATTAAGGACAGAACTACTGTACAGTTCCCATTAAAAATTTAGCATCAATCCAATATTACCATTGAATTCCAGACCCCATTTAAATTTTGTCAGTTGCCCCTTTATGTTCCTGGATCACCTATTAAATTTCGTTCTATGACTCTGTACTGTCCTTTAATCTGGGAAAGTTCCTTAATTCTTTTCATGTTTTATATGACCTTGATATTTTTTTAAGAGTACAGGCTAGTCAATTTTGGTTTGTCCTTTGGTTCCTCATAATTAAATTCCATTTAATCATTTTTGGCAGAGCTACCACAGAAATGTTGCTGTGGTATACTTACTGTGTTCAGCAAACGTCAATATGCTTCATAATTGGTGATATTAACTTTTATCATTTGGTTAATATGATGTCTACCATGTTTCTTCTGTGTAAAGTTAATTAGTAACTTTTTGTGGAGAAATACTTTGAGACCTTTACTTTAAAAGATATTTCCCTCATTTTTTTCCTTTATTTATAAATTCTTGGATTCCTATTTTATTCAAAGGATTATAATCTATGATTATCATTATTTGGTTTGACTCTCAGATATCTTCGACAGGGCCAGTGGGGACCCCCTTTCAAGATAGCACGTGTGCCTCATGTCCTTTTGTCATTTTCTGAGCACTCTTACTATCTGATACAACAAAATGTTCCATGCTTACCTTGTTTTTTGTCTTGCCGAGTTCAGCAATCAGTTATTTTTCCAAGGAGTCCTAGTTCCTTTTAGTGGAGAATAGTATTTAGATACTAACACATGGGCACTAGGTAAACTTCTTGGTACTTGAATAGGAAATACACACAAGCACACATCTCTCTACATTTAAAAAAACATTTCTCTGTGTGAAATATCAAGAGGTCACACCAGTTTTTCTAATTCCAGTTTAATATGACAAGGTCTATTTTTAGATTTCCATATTTGTAATTCCCTTCTTCCATAGAGAGAAACTTGATCCCATTTTACTCAACATGTTTACTTTTTTGTTTGATCCCCAATGTATATAATCAGTCTTATTACATTGACTCATTGCCAGCTGGTCACATAGGGTCACATATGTATTAATTATGTATTAAAACTAGAGGCCCAATGAAGGGGAAAGGAATAGGAATTGATCTGATATGTATACTTAAAAGATATAAGTTAACTTGTATATAGAAATATCTTACCATTGATATTTTAAAATAACTTAGTTTTAAGGCTTGCTAAATTCTGAAACTATAATGTAGTTTTTAAGTTTTTATTTATTCAGATATATTTTAAATATAATAGCTTTAATATTGAATAGTTGAGTTGTTGGTGGAATATTTGATATATTATAAGATGACCAGGGAGATTTTAGAATTTGACATATTGTCAAGTACTATGACATCTATAATTATCATCAAGTAGTTTATTTTTTTTTGCTTTATTTTGCTTTGTTTAAGTTAATAGAGCTGTTTGGGAAGAAATGGTGAATGCCTGCTGGTGTGGTCTACTTGCTGCTCTCTCACTCCTTCTTGATGCCAGGTATTAAGTCTTTGTAAGTTTTATATTGCATTTGACAATTAAAAAAAAAACACTAAAATAGTTTACTTAAATTTGTCCTAAGAATTATTTTCTAATTTTAGTTTTTATATGTGTATAATATTATTCTTTGTTTTATTTTGTTTGTTTTTTTAGAATGGTTTACTGATTCCTAGAGAGAGAGGAAAGGAGAGAGAAAGGGAGAGGGAGGGGGGGAGGGGAGGGAAGGAGAGGAGAGGAGAGGGAGAAGAAGGGAGAGGGAGAGGGAGAGGGAGAGGGAGAGGGAGAGGGAGAGGGAGAAACATTGATGTGAGAGCACAACATTGATCGGCTGCCTCCTGCATACCCCCTACCAGGGATTGAGCCTACAACCAGGCATGTGCCCTGATTGGGAATTGAACTGGCAACCTCCTGGTGCAGGGGATGATGCCCAACCAACTGAGCCATACCAGCCAGGGCATTATTCTTTGTTTTGATTCTCCTCCCTTATTCTATCCTTGCCTTGCTCCCCACCAGAATTGTTGTTAGTGTTTTAGGAAAAAAAAGTCCTAAAATTACAGAATGCCTTTTTCATTTCAAACCTTACTATTACAAGTATTATAATCATAGTATTCAATTTCTTGGCTGTTTTTCTTCAGAATTGCAGAATTTACTGATTTTAAAATGATATTTTTAATTTTCAGGTATATGTTAATTAACATTCCTCATTAAGTATATTGATTTTGACAATTTTTAATAAATTTTCTTAAAACTTCCTTAAATACCTAATTCCACATAGTTTGCACTGTAATTAAAAATAAATTAATCATATTAATCACATTAATGAAATACTTTATTTTTTCAGCACAGATGAAGCTGCCACTGAGAATATTTTAAAAGCTGAACTGACTATGGCTGCTCTTTGTGGAAGACTGGGCCTAGTAACTTCAAGAGATGCCTTTATAACTGCAATATGCAAAGGTTCCCTGCCTCCCCATTATGCTCTTACTGTGTTGAATACCACCACTGCAGCCACCCTTTCCAATAAATGTAAGACTTCAGTTTACTCAAAGTTCTCTTCATCTAGTGGGCTGACATGGCATAGAGAAAATATTATAGAACTTCTTAGTTCAAGCCTCTGCTCTTCTATTCACTGACTCTGTGCCCTCTGTGAGAAGTTAATGTCCCTGAACCTCAGTTTTTTTCATCTTTTAAAAAATAATGGAAATTAGAGTAGGGGAAAATGACATTAATTTTAAGCAATAATGGTGAAGATAAATCTGGAAATCCTTTGTAAACTATTATATATTGTCGAAATAGTGGTGGTTTGTATGTTTTTTCCAGTGGAACTAGTAGAACAGTAATGTTTGCAACTACTTATATTAAATAGATATTCAAAAAATTTTTCCTTGTTGAATACTTTCAAAACATTCAAGTTTCTTCCATGCAATGTAAATATATTTCAATAAGATATTCAATTTTTAAACTGAAAATGTGAATTTTGGTCTCTAACTTTAATTGAAAAGTTTACTGGGAATACATGTTTAAAATAGAGTCCTAATTCTAAGTTCTTACAAAGAAGTCTACCAAAGTTATATAATTTGTTAAAGTTACATAGAAAATTAATTTACTTAATATTTGCTTAACTTGCCTTTGTTTTTGCCCTTCCCGAGTTTTAAAAGTGTTTGCGTATAAGTAACTAAGTCATCATTGAATTTAGTTTCGTCAAATTAATGTCTTAAAATATAACATTACTTTGAATGCAACATAAAAGTTATATTTGAATTACTTAGGTATTCGTTTCTATTGTAGCATATTCCATTCAGGGCCAAAGTGTTATGATGATAAGTCCATCAAGTGAATCTCACCAGCAAGTAGTGGCAGTGGGTCAGCCACTAGCAGTCCAGCCTCAAGGAACAGTAATGGTAGAGTACTTGTTCTTTTCTTGTTTGCCAGTTAACTTTCAAGGAAACTTTTGTATCTTTTTTGCCAAAGTGTATCTTTATACTTATTTACTTTCTTTTACCTGGGTGTTATCTTTAGAAGAAATTAGATAAATATGCAGTTGACGTTATCATAATCAAGTATGATAACACAACTTTTAAGGAAATGAATGTATTCTGTGTAAAACCATCCAAACCTATTTTCTTAATATTTTTGGTGGTTTTTTTTAATTTGAATTTGATAATGCTGCTGTATAAGCTTTTAATTTTCAAGAATGCATAACAGTTCTGCAAATATATCCTTTTCTAAATAGTTAACATCCAAAAATATCCAGTGTATGAGGACTTTACTTAACTTGGCACACTGTCATGGGGCTGTTCTTGGAACATCGTGGCAACTTGTCTTGGCAACTCTACAGGTATGTTGTAGAATCTGGATCAGAGGTCGGTTTTGTTTTATAGCTAAGTGCTAACAATTAAACTAAGCAATGTCGATTGGTACTTTGAACAGGCTGAAGGAATAAGCAGTAAATATGACAAGGGAGAAGTTGGAAGGGAAAGAAGACATGGCTTATGTTGTATGAAATAATGGAATACTTCTCATAATGGCCTAAGTTCTAGACTAAGTTCTACTGCTTATGCTTGGTGTAATAAGTATTTTATATGACTATTAATTGCTGATTTAAATTTGGTTGTTAGAAGCCTACTACTGATTTTAGTTTTAGTTATTAAAAGTTACTACTGAGTTTTAATTTTCATTATTAGAATTTTTATGCTTATAAATTTATTTGTTTTGATTTTTAAAAACATTTTCAGCATCTTGTATGGATTCTGGGATTAAAGCCTAGTAGTGGTGGTGCCTTGAAACCTGGGAGAGCTGTAGAAGGACCCAGTACAGTAAGTTCTAGTCATTCTTACTCAATTAGTGCTTCCCACAATGTTCATATGTTACATTAATTTTATTCTTCTCTTAGGTTCTAACAACAGCAGTGATGACAGATTTACCAGTGATTTCCAATATACTTTCAAGATTGTTTGAAAGCTCACAGTAAGATCAGGTTTTTAAATTGGTAGAAACATTATTATTAGCTATTTATTTTAGATCAGAATGGCTTATTCATTTTTTATTTCAGGTACCTTGATGACGTATCATTGCACCATTTAATAAATGCGCTTTGCTCCTTATCCGTAGAAGCAATGGATATGGCCTATGGAAATAATAAGGTGTGGTATTCTACCTCTTTGTTTTAAATATAGTACATTACTTAATTAAATAAGGTGTGTACTCATCATGATATTAGTATCTTACTAATGGGACCAATATCTTGTAAGCTAACCCTACTCTGTTGAGTTTTTGCTGTTTATGGATCATAAATCAAATTTTGATTTAAACATATTTGCATTCTATGTTTTTTAATCATTTCCTGGGAGTCTTCACTTATGTATAAATAGTCCAACTATATTTATTCATTGTAAAATGTAGAAAGCATTTTACTTTAAATAATTTTTAAGATATAAATAAATCAAAATATTCCTGTGCTTCCCAGTTATAATAGGAATGATATTTTGAATATAGAAAGACATTGTCTCAAAAGTATTTTCTATTCATGTCGTCAATGAACAAAGCAAAAAATTAATTTTCAAGGTAGGGAGAGTCATTTATTACCTTCAGAAAGAAATGATAAGCTCCTTATTTTCTGTCCCAAAAAAGGCAAGAGAAACTGAGACATATATTCCTTGATTTAAATCTTGTATTGTCCCAATCATAAATTGTAAGTATTATTGTGACATTTTATAGAATTTATTTCTAAATGTGGTGCTGTATTATTCTTTTTAAAAATATTTTGAAAAATATTCAGTACACAAGAAAAATGTACTTATAGAGAAATTATTATTATTTATTAATTTAAAACAATAATACAGGGTAGGGCAAAAGTAGGTTTATGGTTGTGAGTATGCAAAACAGTTTATTCTTGTATTATTATTTATTAATTATTGTATTACTTTCCATACAAACAATGTAAACCTACATTTGCCTCACCCTGGATTGATTCTTAACCACTGACCCACACTGGCTGGGCAAAAATGATTTTTTTTTTAAAAATATATTTTATTGATTTTTTTTACAGAGAGGAAGGGAGAGAGACAGAGAGTTAGAAACATCGATGAGAGAGAAATATCGATCAGCTGCCTCCTGCACATCTCCCACTGGGGATATGCCCGCAACCAAGGTACATGCCCTTGACCGGAATCGAACCCGGGACCCTCCAGTCCGCAGGCCGACGCTCTATCCACTGAGCCAAACCGGTTTTGGCCAAAAATGATTTTTGTTGTTGTTGTTAATCCTCACCCAAGGATATTTTTCCATTGATTTTTAGAGAGAGTAGAAGGGAGGGAAGAGACAGAGAGAGAAACATCGATGTGAGAAAGACACATTGACTGGTTGCCTCCCACCCTGACCAGGGCTGAGGATCAAGCCTGCAACTGAGATACATGCCCTTGACTGGAATCGAACCTGAGACCCTTTAGCCCATGGGCCAAAGCTCTATCCACTGAGTCAAACTGGCTAGTGCCAAAAATGTTTGTTGATGTAGGCATAAGAGAGTATTATTAAACTGTGCTTTCTGAGAGATCAACCAAAGGACTTGTATGCATGCATATTAGCCTAATCAATGGACACAGACACCAGAGGGGTGAGGGCATGAGTGGGGGGTGGGGTGTGGGGGGACAATGAGGGGATAAGGACACATATGTAATACCTTAATCAATAAAGAAAAAACAAAAACTGGTGGAAAGCAAAACAAAAAAACCCCTGTGCTTTCTATAAAAATTCTAAATATGCAGATACTAAAATGAGTAGAAACATCTTATTTTTTACATTTTTAAAGTTTATTAGTTATCAGTGTAAGTTAAATATTCTAGGTATTAAAGATGTATATATTAATGTTCTTTAGCTGTGGCTTTATAGTGACCAGTCATCTCATTTTGGTCCTCATTGCAGGAATTTGTGCTAATGTGTTAAGGAAGTAGCTGATGGTAAAGCCTTCAAATTCTTTTTTAGAAGGAGGTGATGTTAATGATACTTGTGCAGGCATAGTACCATGGTCATATCAATAACAAAAATAACAAAACAGAATAAAGCATAATAATGAATAATAAAGCAAAATAATAGTTTGTTTACTGAATGTCAGACACTACAGTATGTTATTTAATTATTGAAAACAACTCTGTGAGGTTGAGTAGCACTATCCCCATTTTATAGATGAAATATGAAATAGCTTAAGTAATTTGCCTGGGATCACCTATTTTGTAATTGGTGAAGCTTGGATTAAACCCATATATGTCTCATTCCAGACCTCCATTTTAAACCATTTCATTAGTGACTTTTGTGTGCATCGAAGTCAGCTATGAGATTTTTTTGAAAATATAAATGTCAGGGCCACATTCTAGGCTTCCTGAGTAAGAATCTTTGGGTATGAGGCCAGGATATCTATACATTTTCTTCAATGAGATCAAGGGAGAGGGAGTATGTGCTTGCAAGCTCTCTGGTATCTTTTCTCATAAGGACACTAATCCTATTGTATCAGGATTGTATAATCCTATGACCTCATTTAATGTCAATGATCTCATGGGCTCTATCTCCAAGTACTGTAACATTAGGGGTTAGGGTTTCAACATGTGAGTTTTAGAGGGACACAGTTCAGCCCATAGCAGAATTCTTTCCTTCTGGTTAGAAAACTAGTCATTTTCTGTGTCTGAAATTTTTGAATTTCACTTTTCCCTCACTAATGCATTCTCTTTATAATTAAATTTTCATATTAGGAGCTATTCTGGATACTTGCGGTTGGGCAGAAAGGCTTATCTCATGAGGACTGAGTTTTTATTATCTTTATTGCTAACTTTGTACTAACTAGTCATATATTAGTTATAGTCATGCTCTTCAGAGTGTTCTCAGTTTCATTTATAGTTCAAGTACTCAAATTTTTCTTTAAATATCAAGATGTAATATGTTTTCTCTCTAGGAACCCTCTCTTTTTGCTGTTGCTAAATTGTTAGAAACTGGTCTAGTTAACATGCACCGAATAGAAATTCTATGGAGACCTCTAACTGGTCATCTACTAGAGGTAACCTCTTTTTAAAAATTATTATATTTATTTATTTTTGTTAAGAATAAAGACTTAACACAATGAACTAATGACTCTGGATATCCATACACAAAATCAGGATTAATTTTATCTATACATTTTTATCAGGGACTAAAGTTATTTGCCTTATTGAAAGAATTCTTTTTGTTTTGGGCTGAAAATGGGTGCCATATCAATAAAATCTCTAAAGTCTCCTTCAGCTGTTAGTTTGGGTTCCCTTTCTTTTATGATACAATCTTTTAATCACCTTATTTTTAGCTAGTTCAAGGCAATTGGGACAGTTTTAGTAGTAAACTCTCCTGTTTTACAGCCTTTCCCATGATTATGAGATAGATCTCCTACAAGGGGAAAAACCTGTTTGGTATCACTACTTGTAGATGGCACCAGGGAATTTTATCTGGATTTGTATTCTCTAGTATTCAAGTTGGGGTGATTCTTAATCATAAGCTTAATAATAGCTGCTTCTATCAGTATACATGTGTATGTGCAGTTTTGGTTTATGATGCCATGATCATTTGATACTAATTTAGTAACCTGACAAAGGTATTACTTTTAATAAGAAAAACAAAAGTGCTAGTGCTTTTCTCCTCCCCCCTCCCACCCCCATTTTATTTGGATTACTTTTATGAGCTATTAAAGGACATATGCAGATTTCTTTATTATGGATAGTCTCCTCAAATGGCAAAAAATGCCATTTTTAAAATTGTAGCACATTATTTATGTGGGTAGACCTAATTAGAAACATTAGTATCTGCTTCTTTTGTTTATTCTGATGACATCATTTACTTTTATGAAATCCTCTCTTTTCTGTGACTTGTTTGATTTCATCTTTTATCTTCTGTCTCTCTATTGCTTCCTCTTACCCATTATTCAGAAGGTAAGCTTACCTATATTTTGGATACAATATTTCCTTCAACCCTTATTGATGAATATTTGATATAATTTTTTAAATGTGAAAGGATAAAAAATGTAATGTTTTTATTTTTATTTTCTCAAATTAATATGTAAGCTTAAGTATATAAGTTATATATTTAATTTTTGTTCAATGTATTTACCTTCAGGTCTGCCAGCATCCAAATTCTCGAATGAGAGAATGGGGAGCAGAAGCTTTAACTTCACTTATTAAAGCAGGGTTAACATTTAACCATGATCCTCCACTTTCACAAAACCAGGTAGAAAAAAATCTTTTTAAAAAAGAATATTTAATGTAAAATCATCTTCCATATGTAATTTTTTCTTAATTTATCAAATGGCTGGTATTTTAAAATTGGGTTTTGTTGCTTAATCAATGATATGTAGGCCATGGGTCTCCAGGTTGATGTACCTGGATATTTAGGACTATTGTTATCTAATGTTGTAGAAACTTTCTTGTGCATGACATTGAACTAAGTTAATAAACTACCTGGAATTTGTCTCCCAGTCCAGAACTTTCAGTGTTGGGGCTTCATTTTGGGGCCCTATTTTATTAGTCTCTTTTTCTTTCTTTGGTCCTTACCTGTCTATGACATTTTTCTTCTCATTACCCTTACATTGGGAGAAAACAAGTGGCAGAAGGGATGAACACAGTAAAATAGATTTTTATTTTTCAATAATTTACAAAGTTATTTTATGTTTTCATAGTTTACATTAGTCTTGAGTCCTTTGTCCTGACTCACCTAATCATTCATATATATTTTATACAGTTTTTAAAAGTACACCAAAGGTTTATTGTTTGAAGATTGAGTTGGAATGAAGCATTTAATGAAGCAACTATTTCCATTGCTCTCATTATCTTACTGTATTGTAATTGTATTCTACAAATTTATTCATCAAACTAGAGGCCCAGTGCACAAAATTTGTGCACTTGGGGTGGGGGGTCCCTCAGCCCAGCCTGCGCCCTCTAGCAGTCTGGGAGCCCTTGGGGGATATCCGACTGCTGCGGAGGTGGGAGAGACTCCCGCCACTGCTGCTGCACTCGCCAGCCGTGAGCAGGCTCAGGGCTTCTGGCTGAGTGGTGCTCCCCCTGTGGAAGTGCACTGACCACCAGGGGGCAGCTCCTGCGTTGAGCATCTTCCCCCTGGTGGTCAGTGTGCATCATGGCAACCAGTCGTTTTGCTGTTTGGTCGATTTGCATATTAGCCTTTTATTATATAGGATACTTATAAAGTATGTAAGGCAGGCAGTGTTTTAGCTTTTGGAGTAAAATGATGGGCAAAACAGAAAAGCTCTACATTTTTATAGAGCTTTTATTTGTGATTTCATATTTTTTTCCTACTGCAACTTAATTTTTTTGAAAAGAAAACCCTTGTTTATGTGTATCTTCAATGTCCAGCTTAATACCTTACACATAGTGAGACCTTACAAATGTGTGTTCAATCAGTGAACCAAATAAATGAATCTTTGGAGAGAAGAAAGTTAAAAATGAAGCAAGTGCTTTCAGCTGCTGAAAGTAATAGAAAGGAGTGCTGCTTTTTTTTAAAAACTCTCCAGCAGATTTTGTGCTTATATGTCATCTTTGTTTACCATACTTATTCATTTTTTAGAAGTATTGAGAATTTTAAATTTAAATACATATGCTATACATTAATAAAGTAAATGAAAGGTAATTTTAGAATTTGGAAATTGTTTTCCTTTTTACAAATATATCTAAATTTTTACAAATATAGATATATTTCCTTTAGTGAGATTTATTTCCATATGTATTTATTATTAATATCTTTTAACATAAGGTCACTCCCCATTTATCCTGAATTCTAACATCTTAAAAGATTGATTTTTATTTTCTCTTAAATTATAAAACAATATAGATGACAAAATAACCCCTAATGATTACTGTTAGAAAATTATATTCAGTGTTTATTTTACTATGAAATTTCTGTTTACCATTGCAGTCTGATTGGAGGTGATTTTGAACTTAAAAAGTCTCAGCAGAGCCTTTCTGTCTTTTTGGGCTTCTTGTCCTAATTACTTTCTTGCTCTCTTTTCAGAGACTGCAGTTGCTTTTATTGAACCCATTAAAGGAGATGTCCAGTATTAACCATCCAGATATCCGACTCAAGCAACTAGAATGTGTGTTGCAAATTTTGCAGAGTCAGGGAGATAGTCTTGGACCTGGATGGCCATTAGTGCTTGGAGTCATGGGAGCAATCAGAAATGACCAAGGGTAAGTGTTTCAAATTAACTTTCAAAAAGTAACAGAAAAAGGGAATCCATCCTAAAATCTTGTAGTAGTGGCAATTTTTTATATATACTCTTTCTGCTTACGTTCAAGTTCTACAGTTTTTCTTAACTCTACCCTCAAGTGGCTACAGCGAATTATTAGGGCTCACTTTTGTTTTGGAAGGATGGGAAAATTGCTGTTTATTGACATTTATACAAGGATACAGGTTCTTATGATAAGATAAATGTATCAATATAACAAACTTTATAGCACATCCAAAGACTGGGCTTTCTTTTGTTAAATACTTGGTAAAAAGTAAATTTACATTTATGGCTTGACCTCTCTGCATATATTGGGAAGTCTAAGAAATTGCTTTTAAGTAACCCTTTTTCATTGATTTGTTCATTTATTAAACACTAGAGGCCCAGCACATGAAATGGTGCGTGGGTAGGGTCCCTAAGCCTAGCCTGCGATCAGGGCCATCGTCTGCCCGCTCGCCAGTCCCGCCCCACTGCCGCCCAACCCAGTTCCCCGTGGTTCCCCGTTCGCCATCCAGCTGTGGGAGCCTGCAGGCCCGGGGAGGGGGGGGGGGGACCAAGAGGTCTGCTTTCTGCCCGTTAGCCAGTCCCCAGTCCCGCCCGCCGCCTCCACCCACCCCATTTCCCTGTTGGCCGGGCGATCAATCTGAGCCTGCGGGATGGGGGAGGGACCAAGAGGTCCACGTTTCGCCCGCTCGCCAGTCCCCAGTCCCGCCCCACTACCACCCACTCCAGTTCCCCGTGGTTCTCTGTTGGCCATCCAGCGATCGGATCCTGCGCACTCGGGAGGGACCGAGAGGTGGTCAGTGCACCTCATAGCGACTGGTCAATCAGTTGTTCTGGTCATTAAGCCATTATGTTTTTCTCCTTTTATTATATGGGATTGGTTCTGTGCCTAGTATATTCCAAATACTATGCTTTCTAGTTATTCTGATTACACAGATAAATAGCTCCTGCTCTAAAAGTAGAATCCTATGGAAAAGGAACAAACCCTATAAGTAGGATATCCTAGTAAGAGAATAGTTTTTTATGTTAGAGAAGTATAATAATCCAGTTGGAGGGGCCTATGCCCCTGGAGAAGGACAGAACCAAAATTATGAAGGATATTATATGCTTTCATAAACTATTTGGACTTATCCTTAATGCATTAGGGAGGTATTTTAGGATTTTAATCAGAGGAGTAAATGTATCTGATATGCATATGAGATGTATCACTGTGTCAAGCAGCCTGGAGGAGTGGATGGGAAAGCCTACTGTGCTCTCTAGAAATAGAGAGGAGATGGATTTGAGCTACTTATTAACAGATTAACTTTTAGGGGGAATGGGTTTTAGGAAACAGAATCAGGAATAATTCCCAGATTTCTGGCTTTGCTTAGTGGATAGTAGTCCAAATTACCATAAGGCATATAACTAAACTACAGGCCTGGTGCACTGGTGGGGTCCCTCAGTGTGGCCTGCAGGGATTGGGCCAAAACTGGCAGTCCAACATCCCCGAGGGATGTAGTAGTGCATGAAACAGGAGGTGGCCGGGGAGGAGCCAGAGCCCAGGCCAGGCTCCATGCTGCTCCTGCTCATCTTGGCCCCGCTGTGCCTGCTGCTGCCGCTCAGTAGGCTCGCTGCCACTCTGTTGCGGTCTCAGTGCACCCATCCTAGGGCAATACCAGCATACCCATGATGGAGAAGCGGCTGCGGGCTCACACCCAGTCAGTCCCTATTCCGGTCCCAGTCTGGATGGGGGAGGGTCACACAGGAGGAATGTCTGTGGGAGAGGCTTGTGCTGCCGTAGCAGTTGTGGGAGTGCACTGACCACCAGGGGGCAGCTCCTGCGTTGAGTGTCTGTCCCCTGGTGGTGAGTGCACATCATAGTGAACGGTTGAATGGTCACTTATGCTTTTATATATATAGTCTAGAGGCCTGGTGCACAAAATTTGTGCACGGGGCTGTGTGTCCCTCAGCCCAGTCTGCACCCTCTCCAATCTGGGACCCCTTGGGGGATGTCTGACTGCTGGTATAGGCCCGATCTCGCAGGGGACATCCCAGCAGTCAGACATCCCTCTCACAATCCAGGACCGCTGGCTCCTAACCACTCGCCTGCCTGCCTGATCGCCCCTAACCACTCTTTTTGCCTGCCTGGTTGCCCCTAACTGCCCTCCCCTGCAGGCCTGATCGCCCCTAACTGCTCCTCCCTGCTGGCCTGATTATCCTTAACTGCCTCTGCCTCAGCCCCCACCACTGTGGCTTTGTTCAGGAGGAGGACCGGATGACCGGAAGATGTCCGGTCGACCCGGTCTAATTAGCATATTACCCTTTTATTAGTATAAATAAGGAATTCAGAAGAAAGAGCACATTTAGAGTAAATGTATGGATTTGTTTAAGGTAGGACAGTGCAATGGAGAGAACAGAAATTTGAATGTATTTGTGTGTAATTCTGCAGCAGGATTTGTAATACCTTGTTTTGATGACTAATTTAGGAGTTTTACATGATTGAGATGCTTGAGACTATTATGGAAGTCTTATTTAAAAATTTTAAAAATTTATTTGTAGTAATAAATTTTCTTAAATCCTACAAAATATTGAGATGATTAAAGTGAAATGATATCAGCTATAGCTTAAATGAAGCTGAAGTTTCTTCTTCCAACCTATAATGTAGTTATAAAATACGATGTTGTTATATGAATGAAGTGAATTAATGCATGTAAAACTCTTACAAAGTTCCTGATATAGTAAACACTCAATGTACTAGCTATTATAATTCATTTTCATCATTATTTTTCGCCACCAGAATTTATCTTAAAAAAATCAAATACTTCATATTCTCTTTATATGAAATTCAAAATTAGTATTTTATTTTATAGATGTAGAATTTAAAAATAAGATATAGTATAGATATAAAAGAATAAAGAACTAATTTTCATTCAGTGAGTATTTCATTGTGTGTATACGTGCTAGGCATCATGTTAGATATTGGGGATATAGTGGTAAGAGGTTAGCTCTAGGCAATTTCCTTTCTCATTTAATGTCTTAAGTTTTGTTGGACTAGTTGGTGCAAAATACAAATAAAAAATAATATGGCATTAATACACATTTTCCTTTCCTTTTGCTAGTGTACTGTTTTATTTCTGTACCTGTGTATTTTTTATTAATTATTTTAAATAAGCATGTTGTTTTAAAATCTCTGTAAATGTTGAAATACTAGGTTATCTATATTAGAGAAGATTTTCTTGTTCAAACTTTAAAATAAAATTTTGCATGGTCCCAATTACGATAAAAATATATTTCCCTTATATTTTGTTTAAATGCATGAGTATAAACTTCTTATCTTTTGTGTTTTCAGAGAATCCTTGATACGAACTGCATTTCAGTGTCTTCAGTTGGTTGTAACAGATTTTCTACCAACAATGCCTTGTACTTGCCTGCAGATAGTTGTAGATGTTGCAGGTAGCTTTGGACTTCATAATCAAGAACTTAATATTAGTTTAACTTCAATAGGTTTATTGGTATGTATCATTGCCTTTTAATAATATAACCTAGAGAGTGAATGGTAAGCAAATACTTGACTCTATAGGAATCATTTAAATGACTCTGATACCAAACATATCTTCCTTAAAGGATTAAGTGACACAATTTAAGAAATAATTCATTAGTAGCAGACTATTTGGAATAATTTTGACATATGGAGCTGAAATATGTTTTTTACATGGTTTTCTTGGGAGGATTTAATAAACTGGTAATAGTACATAGAAGAGAAAGAGTCAGTTGACTCTCATGTAAGGGTTAATTGATTATCAATATTATTTTGGAAGCAACATTTTGATATACTACTTATTTAGTAAATAAAACTTTCATAAAAGGCTTCACCATTTATGGAGTCCCATAGCTTGTCAACACTGCTTTGTTAGCTGTAAGGAGACTGCACATGATAGTGTAAGAGCCCAGACTGTTAGACATGTATTTTAATTCTGTCTGCTCCTTGTTAATTGTTAAATTATTGATCTTCTGAGCCTCATTTTACTTATTTTGCATATAAAAGTAATAAAATGTAAGTTAGGATATTGTTAAATATTACACAAAGTAAACATGTAGAGAGCTGTTGCCAGTACAAATTTATTTAAAGGCAGTTATTTAGACTCTTAAATGTATATTATAACTCAGAATTTTACAAGTCAAATTTAAATACCCCTCACAAGCTAGATAACTTAGTATTTTGCTATTAACATGTTAAGTGCCATGTCTATCACCGGTGACTGACACTATACTTTCCGTCAAAAATATAATCATGGGGGAAAACATAGGCATGTTCTGTATGTATATAATTGCTCCTAAAGAGTAGTTGATTAATTCAATGTTGATTTCTGCTAGATATTACTTCCTTTATTTTATATTTATGTTCACAGATATTGGACTCTACATTTTTACCATTGATATAATTCTCATTGATTTGCATACCTTGCTGTGGTTGTGAATGAAGTTATAAGATATGTTTGGAAATAGTAATTGCTCTTGTATGAAGTTACAAAATACTAACTTCATATTATATTAAGGAATGATATTAAGGAATTGTTAATAATTTTGTTAGTATGATAATGGTTTCAGGGTTATGTTTTTAAAGCCTTTTTCTAGTAGAGATTATAAAATAGGTATAAAGTAAAAATAAAATATTAATAATTTTTATCTAGGTGGTGGGTATATCAACATATTGACATACTCCCTATTTTTCTGTGTTCTTAACATTTTTCATAATTTATAAAAAATATTAATGTTAGTAAAATATTTCTCCCCCATATTCTCCTGAAATCAGATAGAAACACTTGACAGAGAAAGAGATGTTTTCATCAAATCCCTTCTAGATTTCTGAAGTAATTTTTAGAAGTTTTATTCTAAAAAGTAAAACAACTGTGGGTTGCATATTTATATATGTCTTTAAAATAAAATCTATGGATAAAGTGATATTTTTCTACTTTGCTTTTTAGTGGAATATTTCAGATTATTTTTTCCAAAGAGGAGAAATTATTGAAAAAGAATTAAATAAAGAAGAGGCAGCACAGCAAAAGCAGGCAGAAGAGAAAGGGGTTGTTTTAAATCGGCCATTCCACCCTGCACCACCATTTGATTGCCTTTGGTTGTGTCTTTATGCAAAATTGGGTGAACTATGTGTGGACCCCCGACCTGCTGTCAGGAAGAGTGCAGGGCAAACTCTGTTTTCAACAATTGGTGCACATGGGACCTTATTACAGCATTCAACATGGCACACTGTTATTTGGAAGGTACTGTAAACTAGCTTGAGTTACCAGCTTTTAATTGGAACACACATATATTTTTTCAATTAAACTTTTTCCTGTTTACTTTTTCTTTCTGGAGGGAAAACTGGTTCTTGTATTAGATCCCTTCACTTTAAATTTAATCTTCTATTCCTTGTTTCATCCACTTTGGGTACCATCTCTTTCTTATTTATTTATTTATTTATTTATTATTTATTTAATTAATTCTTTATTGTTTAAAGTATTACATCTTTCTCTTTTTCCCCCATTGACCTCTCCCTGGCCATCCCCACCTCCTAGCACATGCCTTCATCCCCCTAGTGTCTGTGTCCATTAGTTATGCTTATATGCATGCATACAAGTCCTTTGGTTGATCTCTTAATGTCCCCCCCACGCCCCACCCCTGCCTTCCCTCTGACCTCTGAGGATTGATGGTCTGTTTGATGCTTCTCTGTCTCTGGATCTGTTTTTGTTCATCAGTTTATGTTGTTCATTATATTCTGAAAATGACTGAGATCATATGATATTTTTCTTTCTCTGACTGGCTTATTTCACTCAGCATAATGCTCTCCAGGTCCATTCATGCTGTTGTGAATGGTAAGAGTTCTTTCTTTTTTACAGCAGCGTAGTATTCCATTGTGAAGATGTACCACAGTTTTTTAATCCACTCATCTGCTGATGGGCACTTAGGCTGTTTCCAAATCTTAGCTATTGCAAGTTGTGCTGCTATGAACATAGGGGTGCATATATCCTTTCTGATTGGTGTTTCTAGTTTCTTGGGATATAGTCCTAGAAGTGGGATTATGGGTCAAATGGGAGTTCCATTTTTAATTTTTGAGGAAACTCCATACTGTCTTCCACAGTGGCTGCACGAGTCTGCATTCCCACCAGCAGTGCACGAGGGTTCCTTTTCCTCCGCATCCTCACCAGCACTTGTCAGTTTGTTGATTTGTTGATGATAGCCATTCTGACAGGTGTGAGATGGTACCTAGTTGTTGTTTATATTTGCATTTCTCGGATGATTAGTGACTTTGAGCATGTTTTCATGTGTCTCTTGGCCTTCTATATGTTCTCTTTCGAAAGGGGTCTATTTAGGTCCTTTGTCCATTTTTTGATTGGATTGTTTATCTTCCTTTTGTTAAGTTGTATGAGTTCCCTATAAATTTTGGAGATTAAGCTCTTATGGGATATAACATTGGCAAATACATTCTCGCATGCAGTGGGGTCTCTTTTTGTTTTGTTGATGATTTCTTTTGTTGTGCAGAAGCTTTTTATTTAGATATAGTCCCATTTGTTTCCATTGTCCTAGGAGCAGTATTTGTAAAGATATTGCTACGACATATGTCTGCTATTTTTAAAAATATTTTTATTGATTTCAGAGAGGAAGGGAGAGGGAGATAGAAACATCAATGATGAGATAGAATCATTGATCGGCTACCTCCTGCACGCCCCACACTGGGGATTGAACCTGCAACCCAGGCATGTGCCCTGACCGGGAATTGAACCTGGAACTTCCTAGTTTATAGGTCGATGCTCAACCACTGAGCCACACCAGCCAGGTTGTCTGCTATTTTGCTGCCTATGGATTCTTCTGAGATTTTTATGGTTTCCCATCTTACATTTAAGTCCTTTATCCAGTTTGAGTTTATTTTTGTGAATGGTGTAAGTGGTGGTCTAGTTTCATTTTTTTGCATGTATCTGTCTAATTTTCCCAACACCACTTATTGAGGAAACTGTCTTGACTCCATGCATCTGTGCATTTGACAAAACTGAAAATGTTAGCTTTGTCATATTTTAAATTGCACTTTACGTAAAACAGATTAAATATTTAGAACCTCATTTTTTTTTTTTTTGTCTTCATCTCTTATCTCTGTCTCTGATTTCTGCCTTTGCCCTTCCCTTTTTCCCCATTTTCCCAAGTGGTAAAAATAGGAATTCCTAAACCATTACACATAATTCAAATATAATATAATCAAATGAGAATTTTATGAATTAAAGAATATCAACAACTGAAATTTACTTGCAGAATCATCAAACAAAAGTCACCTTCAATTGGTAAATTCTACGTTCATTAAATATAGTTTTCTTTTTTGTTTTTCTTTTTTATTCCCTTCTAAAAACTTTCTTACAAAGTCAACAGCTAGGCTCTTCTTTTTTGTTCCATCTGTTTCATTTTAATAAAATTCTATTTATAATCCTTTCACTGCTTTTGTGAATTTTTGAGATCAGTAAATTTGACAATAGGCAGCATAGTAAACCTTAATTGTATTTAACAATGTTTTCAATTTAATAAAGAGACCTCAAAATGTCTTCTTAAAAAATTAATGTACATTTCCTAATAAAAATAACTAAAAGCCCTTGTGTGTTCTGTCTCAACTTTATCCCCTGGCTCCTCAGATCAGAAACATGCTTAACTTTTTTGTTACCGTTTTTAAAAGCAAACTGATAATTTCTCTTATAGCTGTTTTCCTTTCAACAGCTTCATTGTTTATCTTGCTGCTTAATTCTCAGGGATTTATTTCTCCCTTACCTTCCTTGCACTCCCTTATCCCTTATAATTTGATTTCCAGATTATTCTACTTCAGAGTCTCTTAAACCTTAGCCAGTAACAGAATCACCTGGAGGACTTACTAAAGCACAGATTGCTGAGCCACCACTCTATCCTCTAGAGCAGAACCTTTGTTCTGCCAGTGGGCATTTGGATACTTACAACATCATTTGCTTAATAGAATTCACTTAGTGTAAATGTATGTTGTTATGATAAAAGTGCCTAGATTTATTGAATTTCTACTCCCACCTTCTGTTGCCTTGTCAGGGCCAGATCAAATGATTTTTCAGGTCTTATACTGCCCATGGTCCAGGCTTTCCCTACCCCTGCTCTAGAGTTTGACTTTTTACCCTTGTCCTGGGGCCTGAGAATTGCATATGTATGACGCTCCTGGGTGAAACTAATGCTGCTGATTTTGAGACCATATTTGAGAACTACAGAAATTGTTCACAGGCTACAGGTAGTCTTCTAATTGCCAAGTCTTTTGCCATATGCTCATTCCTTATCCTACTCATTTTTTTGTAGCATTTAACCTTGTTGATTAGTTTCTCCATGAAATTTCTTTCCTTGGTTTGTTTCACAGCATGCTTCTGGTTCTCTATTCAATTTTTATTTTAACTTATTTTCTTATTCCTTCCTCTGAATCTACCCTTTAAATATAAACATTTTCCAAGTCCTAAAACCATTTCCTGTTTCATTTTTCCAAGTATCTTCATCTAATCCTGAAGTATCAGTTATAAGCTCTATCTAAATGTCTCCCATAATTATATTTTTTTGCCTGGACCCTTCTCATTAGTTTTGTCCTTTTTTAATACATTATCCCATAGATGCTCCACTAACACTTCAACCCAACAGTCTAATTTATTTTAATTTTTCATAATCCACCCTTTTGGTGGATGGAACAAAACCAAAAGACAGAGCCATCTTATATTTTGGCGGGAAATTCACCCGCACTCCAAGTGTTAATACATTATCCCATAGATGCTCCACTAACACTTCAACCCAACAGTCTAATTTATTTTAATTTTTCATATTCCATGACTTATATAAGAATACTTCTAGTGTTCAATTTCTTCTAACATAGGGGGATTGATTAGATTGTCAGATATAATTTTTGTAATAATTCCTAATCTATATTATCAATACTTTTTATATGTATTTTTATAAATATTCAGGTTCTCTTTCATCTGTTGGACCGAGTTCGAGAGTCTTCTACCACTGCAGACAAAGAAAAGATTGAATCCGGAGGTGGCAATATTCTCATTCATCATTCAAGGGACACAGCAGAGAAGCAGTGGGCTGAGACATGGGTTTTAACATTGGCCGGAGTAGCAAGAATCTTCAACACTAGAAGATATTTACTGCAACCTTTAGGTCTATATATACATATATATGCTTTTTTTTTTCTTTTCCTGGTGATACAGACAATTCATGATAAAGAAAATTTGGAAAATACAAAAGATTTTTTTTGAAATTCATATACAATGCTACTTCCCAAGAGTAATCTTAACTGCCAGTCTTTGTGTTAATGTGCGATATGTGCATAAGCAGTTTTCATTGAAAAAATAAGTATTACCTGCTATGGGCTAGCATCAAGGGAATATAATGATGAGCAAAAAATACACCATCTTTGCTGTCATGGGCATTTGGAAGAAGTATAACTACATTAAAAATGCAAAATTGCTACAATTAGAAATGCTACAAAGGAGTGGTGCATTATGAACTTATAATAGGTATTTAACCAGACCAGTGAGGTCCAGATAGTCTTCCCTAAGAAAGCATTATTTTATCTGAGATTTCAAGGATATGAGATTTCATCAGGTGAGGGCAAAATGAAAGTTGAAGGGCCTTATAGGCAGAGAGAACATATAGAAGAGATAGAAGAAAATTGGGTGGGAGATGTTGAGGACCTTAGCATGTTTGAAGGTTTGGAATGAAAGTGTGATTCCAGATGAAGTTGTAGAGGTAGAGAGAGGCCAAACCATGCAAAACTCTGGAGGTCATATTCATAAGTTAGAACTCCATCCAACAGCAGTGAAAAGCTACTAACGGTTTTAGTTCATATTGTGACATGATCAGATATGCAGTTCTAAAAGGTCACTGTGGATGGTATGAAATGGCAGCAAGGAAGGAAGGAAGGCAGGATACTATTAGACTGGTTAGGAAGCTGTTGGTGCAGATCAGTGGTTCTCAACCAGGGCCAATTTTGCCCTCCCCCTTTTCCCTCCAGGACATTTGGCAATGTCTGGAGACATTTTTGATTGTCACAACTGATGAGGGACAAGTGCTGCTAGAATCTGGGGAGTAGAGGCAACGGATGCACAACAAAGAAGTATCTAACCCAAACTGTCCATATTACTGAGATTGAGAAATGCCAGTGTAGATTATAGTATCTTCAATTCTGGTGGGAGTGATAGGGGTGATAGAAAATGTGAACAGAAATACTTTTGTACATAATTGAGCATGCTATACATATTTTATTTTTTAGTTTATTATTTTATATTTGACTTTTTTCTGTTTTTGTTAAAGCATAAGCATATTTACTTTTTCTGTAGGTTTTTTTGTGTGGTGATCTTCATGTACATTATTTTTTAAAAAAATAACTTATAGTGCTTCATTTTTCATTTTAGGATTAACATATTTAAATCTTATGTACAATGAAATGTACCAATTTTAACTGTATATTTGCTGAGTTTTGACAAAATAAGCATCATTTTTAATACCTCCATAATAGTTACTTTATTTTAAAAGCTAAGAACTAATAGATACAGATTTAGATTTTTAGAAATGAAGACATTACGTAGTTTGTTTTGCGTTGATAATTTTTTACAATTTGAAACTAAAAATGTTTTTTATTTGGAATGAAGTTCATATTTTTAACAAACGTGTAATATATAATTATCCTAGTCTTTTAGAAAAATGACTTTTTCCTAGACATAGAGCATATTAATAGAGGAATTGCTTTTGTTTAGCTATTTTGATAGTTTTTAAACATAATTTGTCAAAGCTCTTTGAATAGTTTACTGAAAAAATCTTTTTTATTGTATGTAAAAAATTATACCTTAATTTTTAATTAAAAAAAGGAGAATAGAAAAGAGGCACAAAACTGGGAAGGTGTTATAGTTTGTCCTATATAAGCAAAGTAGTATTTATTGTTTCATACCAGATCTGCTTCTAGCTTTTTCTATTAATTGAGTGCTTCCTCAAAAAAAAAAAAATCAAGTATGGTGCCAAGTGGGTGCTAGAATTATTGGGGGGATCTCTTTGTAAATTATATGTGTCTAACTACTATGCTATACATCTGAAACTAATATAAAATAATATTGAATGTCAACTGTAATTGAAAAACATTTTTTAAAATAACTTTAAATAAATAAAATCAAGTCATTTATAGCCTTTCCAAGGCTATAAACCTCGATGATTTATATGTGTTCCATAACCTACTTATGTTATCCTACTTTGGAAAATGTAAATTCCTCTGATTTTTGCATTATTTAAATGCAAGTATGTAGGTAATAAAGCAGCTCTTAAAGTAAAACTATCTGTTAACAAACCATTGGGCCAGATTGCTGTTAGGAATAAGGTCATTTTTGCTGGACTTCATAGAAACAAGTTACACCTGGGTTCATTATGTGTTTAGTTGGTCATAGTAGTAGAGCAAGAGATTGAATTGATCAGTGGAAACCAGCAACTACCATTCAGCTCATGCCTTGCTGACTCATTTTCATGTGAGGGAAACAAATTTATACTCATTATGAAAGGACAGTCTATTTATTTTGTCCTGGGAACTATTATGGGTGAAAAATGTTTAAGAAAGTTATACAACTGCCCTGGCCAATGTGGCTCAGTTGGTTGGGTGTTGTCTTGTGCACTGAAAGGTTGCTGGTTTGATTCCCAGTCAGGGCACATACCCCAGTTGTGGGCTTGACCCTTGTGGGGTGTGAGGTCATGCAGGAGGCAGCTGATTGATGTTTCACTATTACATCAAAGTTTCTCTTTCTCCCTTTCTCTCTCAAAATCAAGAAAAAAATCTTTTTATTTATTATTTTTTTAAAATATATTTTATTGATTTTTTACAGAGAGGAAGAGAGAGGGATAGAGAGTTAGAAACATCGATGAAAGAGAAACATCGATCAGCTGCCTCCTGCACGCCTCCTGCTGGGGATGTGCTCGCAACCCAGGCACATGCCCTTGACTGGAATCGAACCCAGGACCCTTCAGTCCGCAGGCCGACGCTCTATCCGCTGAGCCAAACCGGTCAGGGCAAGAGAAAAATCTTTTTTAAAAAAGTTGTATAACTATAAATTATTTAAATATGAAAACTAAAGTTTAAAGTTTAATGGAATGTCAGTTTAACCATTTAGACATATAAAATAAAGTTTCATACTGTTATAGCTTGTAACTTTTCCAATATATTTAAGAATGATAACATCTTAATCATTAATAAAGGCAGATAGATAGACTGAAGATGTTACTAAAAAGCTTTTGTTTTTACCCTCTTAAATTTTTTTCTTTCTCCTTTGGCAAAAGTACTAGGATATAGTATAAACATGTATACTTACATTTATAGAGTTTTGTTTTTAAAACCAAAACATTGTTTGATATACCCATTATCTAATCTCTTCTTGGTGCCCTTTGTTCCTGTATCTGAAAAATAATTTACTGGATTTTCTGGTTGTAATGGTTTTAATTCACATTGTTAGTAACCTTAGTACCTAAGCAGTTTTTTCTAGTTCCATAGGAATTTAAGCAGAAAAATAAATAGATTCTAAAGGGTCTAATAGAGAACATTTGTTCACTTTTATGGTGATATATATATTTTTTCTCTTCTTAATATAGGAGACTTTTCAAGAGCATGGGATGTTCTTCTTGACCATATACAATCAGCAGCACTCAGCAAAAACAATGAAGTATCTCTGGCTGCACTCAAAAGCTTCCAGGAAATTTTACAGATTGTGTCCCCTGTCAGAGACTCAGATAAGCCTGAGACACCGCCTGCAGTTAATGTACCTGTGTCTGTCCTTCTAGGGTCAATATCAGGCCCCGGCCTGAGCAGGCCATTTGTAAGAACAGATTCCATTGGAGAAAGACTTGGAAGATATAGTAGCTCTGAGCCACCCGTAGTTACTGATGAGCTTGAAGATTTGAATCTCTGGTGGGCTGCGTGGAATACCTGGTATAGAATTGGATCTGAAAGCACTAAGCCTCCTATTACTTTTGATAAACTGACTTTTATTCCCAGCCAGCCTTTTCTTACAGCTTTAATTCAGATATATCCAGCTCTCTACCAACACATAAAAACTGGTTTCAACATGGATGACTTGCAAAAATTGGGGGTCATATTGCACAGTGCTGTTTCTGTCCCAATAAGTTCAGATGCATCTCCTTTTATTCTTCCATCTTATACTGAAGCAGTTTTGACAAGTTTACAGGAAGCTGTACTTACAGCTTTAGATGTTCTCCAAAAGGTAATAGAATTTTAATGGCTAAGCAAAAATGCATGTTTTTTTTCTTTGCTATGTATTTTTTTGGTAATTAATTCTGGATCATTAAGATTGTTATGTATATATACTTGGGATAAGTTCAGGATTGTAAAGATCTAGTTATTTTAAAAACGTGTCATTTTCTGGTAATTCAGGTTTGTTTTGAGAGTCGTTAAGAAACTGCCTGCATATTGTTTCTATTCACCAGCATTTTTGGTTTATTCATACATCTCTTTATAAGAGGCTAATACTTTTTGGAATAACAGCTTTTGTCTGGTACTTATGTAGTTAGAAAATTAATAAGCAGTGGGATTACATATATATATGTTTTTATCTGCAATTAAATCTAGCTCTGGAATTCTTGGAAGCTTATTTTAAAAAAAGAAGTAAGGATAAATTTATAAAGTATTTTACAGAAATTTAAGAAAGTTATATTTTTACCTATGTGTGTTTTGTTACTGAAAAAAAATTATCAAAACAGACCTAAATATCATTGAATAAATTCCAATTAGCAAGTAACACCAAATCAAAATCAAATAATTCTTTAAAATTTAATGTAATTGTTAGTGCAATTCACAACAACCAAAATGCTGGAGAACAAAATGCCAACTGAAGAGTCAGCAATTCCAGTTCAGTAGCTATGACATACTAGTGCCTGGTGCAAGGCTTCATGAACATTGAAAGGAAATTAATTAGAAGGTGGCCAGCGGGGCGGGACTGGGCGAGACAGTCTGGACACACTCTGGAGCCAACCTCCCGTGGCCCCTCCCTGGCAGGCTACACCTGGGCCAGCTGCACCTGGGGCAGCACTGCAGCTCAAAGGGCATCTGCAGAGTGAGTGAGGTCCCTCCGGCAGGTGGGTCCCTCGGCCTGGCCTGCGGGGATCGGGCCGAAACTGGCTCTCTGACATCCCCCAAGGGGTCCCAGATTGCAAGAAGGCAGTTCTTGCCCTAACTGGTTTGGCTCAGTGGATAGAGCGTCGGCCTGCGGACTGAAGAGTCCCAGGTTCGGTTCCGGTCAAGGGCATGTACCTTGGTTGCGGGCACATCCCCAGTAAAGGGTGTGCAGGAGGCAGCTGATTGATGATTCTCTCTCATTGATGTTTCTAACTTTCTATCCCTCTCCCTTCTTCTCTGTAAAAAATCAATAAAAATATATTTAAAAAAAAAGAAGGCAGTTCTTGGGTGACATACCCTGGAATCGGGCTCCCTCCTCTCTGGTTCCAGGGTGCGTCACCGGAGTACCGCAGCTGCCAAAGTCACCACAGCTTGGCAGCTCCTGTGTTGAGCATCTGCCCCCTTGTGGTCAGTGAGCATCATAGCTACCAGTTGGAGTGCCTTCCTCTAGTGGTCATTGAGCATCATAGCTACCAGTCAGACAGTCGCTTAGCCTTTTATATATATAGATTAGAATGGAACTAGTACCTGACTATACATGTGTGATCCGTAACCATTTATGTACTGTAAATCATGTTTTCCATTTAACTGATTGCACATATCCAACTGGAATGATGAACATTTGCATATGAAGAATGGTGGTTTCTGCTATATGGCAATACCTCTTATTAGCCTCTGGAAGAAGTCTAGCTGAGCAGTAATTCTTTATCTGTTTAACCCTATTATACAGAGAAACAAATTATTTAGAAACTTAAAATTTAAGAGAATCTGGCATTACAAAAATTTATTGTAGGAATATCAGTTTTCCACAATTGAAATAAAAATAGCTGTTTTTAATTGTAGTGGCGGGGGATGTAGGTTCTCAATAATTACTTTTCCCCCCTTGCTTGATCATGCTCATAAATCACTCATAGACTGCCCTAGAGAGAATGGAAAAGTAATTTTATCAAAAAAGAAAAGAAAAGCCACAGGCCTTGTGGGATGCCTATAATCTACAACTCTCATTCAGATGTTTGATTCAAACTTTTATATATGTGTAGAGGATAAAAATAAAGAAGAAACAACAAATACCAAAAAACTCTCTTCAAGAGAAAAAAGTATATCATTAAAACAAAACAAAACAAAAAAACAGCCTCTGCTTTAGCAATAAGACAATAAGTGGAATCATTCATCCCAGTTACTAGGAATTTGTTCTGAGCTTTGAAAACAACATATACCTTCAACCTGAAACTTAAGAAGCTTTATATTGTTCATTTATATCAATTAATATTTTGCATTGTTAATTTTCACTGTATCTATTACTTGAAAATAATATAATATGGTATTGAACCTGCCACCTTTTGAGAAAGGGGACAACATTCCAACCAACTGAGCCACACCGGCCAGGGCTAGAGAAAATTTTTTTATCATTCAGGTTCTCCATTCACTATTTCTGGCAAAAATAGCTAAATATTGAGACATGGTGTTATTTTTTCACATTGTAATTATGATCTAACTTAGGTATGGGTAGCACTTTGCTTATCCACTTTCTATCTTAGGACAGTTATAGCTAAAGTTTCAGTTACAGCTAAATGGCTATATCTTCTCTGAGAGAAAATGAAACTAATCTATTGTCTGGCAGTTAAAAAGCTACGGATTACATACAAATATAAATGTAAATATCTTTTTAAAGAAATTCCTTAAAAATTTGAATGCTATGAATTTTGACTTAGTATTTTGAGAGTAGAGTGTAGAGTGATCATGTTTTTTTTTTGTTTTGTAGAGCACAGATATATTTTAGGCATTCTATAAGTAATATCATTAAATATTTTTCTTACAGAGATAGATAAACACTCAAACAGGAAAATACGAAAGGTTGAGAGGAAAATACACATTTGTGGCTAGAAAAAAATAAAAACATAAGATTTACTTAAGTACTTTTGACATATTTGAATTGGTAATTAAAACCTGCAATGATAAGATGGGCATTTTATTCTGTTTTATAAAATTATTTGTAGCAATAAGTTTAATTATATTAAAATATTGTAATCTTTAAAATCAAGTCTATATTCAGGTATTTTAGACATTATTAAATATATACTACCCTGCCCTAACCGGTTTGGCTCAGTGGATAGAGCGTCGGCCTGCAGACTCAAGGGTCCCAGGTTCGATTCCAGTCAAGGGCATGTACCTTGGTTGCGGGCACATACCCAGTGGGGAGTGTGCAGGAGGCAGCTGATCGATGTTTCTCTCTCATCGATGTTTCTAACTCTCTATCCCTCTCCCTTCCTCTCTGTAAAAAAAAATCAATAAAATATATTTTAAAATATATATATACTAGAGGCCTGGTGCACAAAAATTTGTGCACTCGGGGGGGAGGGATCCCTCAGCCCAGCCTGCGCCCATTTGCAGTCCAGGACCCTTTGGGGGATGTCCACCTGTCGACTTAGGCCTACTCCCCAGGGGATCAGGCCTAAGCTTGCAGTCAGACATCCTTCTGGCAACCAGGGAGCCCTCGGGGGATGTCCGACTAAAGTCTTAGGCCCCCAAGGGAGCTGTGATGAGGAAGCTGGGGTGACAGAGGAGCCACGCTGTTCTGCCCCACCCGCCCCGGGTCGGGTCGCACACGGGACGCCAGGGCGGGCCGGCGGATCGCTGCTGCCCCAAATATATTTTTTCCATTGATTTTTTAGAGAGAATGAAAGGGGGAGAGGGGTGGGGAGAAAGAAAGAAACATCAACATGAGAGGCACATCAATTGGTTGCCCACCACGTGTGCCCTGACCAGGGCCTGATATTGAACAGCAACTGAGGTATGTGCCCCTGACTGGCAATTGAACCCACACCCCTTCGGTCCGAGGGCAGATGCTCTAACACACTGAGAAACCCAGCCAGGGCAATATTACACTTTTTATTTTTAAAAAGTTTTTAGTTGATTTATACATTTAGCGTATACTTTACTCAATAATAGTTTAAAATAGCTTAAATGTCCTTCAGGGCTTATAAAAGATTGTATGATACATAAAATAGGTCAGTTTTTAAGATTATTTGGTTAAGCAGATGCATGTAACAGTAAAGGACTTAATAGAATTCAGATTATGCATTCTGCTGTTCATATTTTGCTTTTATAGGCCATCTGTGTAGGACCAGAAAACATGCAGATAATGTATCCAGCTATATTTGACCAATTACTGGCATTTGTAGAATTTTCCTGTAAACCTCCACAGTATGGACAACTGGAAACAAAGCACATTGCAAATGCAAAATATAATCAGGTAATTTACTCTAAATTATATTTACTATATAAGATTTTATGGCTTATAAGTACAAGTCAGTTCTACTTAAGAGGAACTCTGATTACCTCAGAAATTTTTCATTCACATATAAACTTTTGTATGTCTGGTAACAGTTTTAACCTAAAAGAAATACTATGTATAGAATCTTTTCTGTGTTTCTTTTTTTCTTGCTTATGATTTTCATTTCCCAAATGGTTTTCTAGGAAGTTTGGCCTTTCATGTTACGCTGTAGTACATCTTCTTCAAAGTTCCTTTCTTGGCTGCCCCAGCCCACTATAAAATGACTTCTAAATCCTTAAGCCTAATCTTTCCTAAAATAGATAACTACAATGCAGAATGACAATATCTGTGTGATTAAATAAAGTCTACTACTGGTGTGAAATTTAGTTGGATTTTACATAGAAGATTTTTATAACCATAATTGGCAAATTTTAACTCTGTTTTGGCTTAGGAGAAAAGTAAATTTCTGAATGCATGCACATGCTGATTTTGTTCACACAACATAAAAATTATAATTTTACATGGTCCGAAAAGTAGTTTTAATGTGTATTAACTCTTTTCATTCTATTTGTCTTGCAACACAATGGAATCACAATAGATCCAACTATTTGCACCGGTGAGTTAAATTTCCTAAAATTGTCCTAACCTATTGACAACAAAGTACATCTTTTCCAGTTCTTGATAGAATGCTCTATGTGCTTTTCACGATAATTTTGATTTTTGCCTGGCTGAAAATTATTATCTCATGAAGTACATATCTCTTTGAAAACTTTGCATGTAATATAATCTGACATAAAACCAAGGCCTGAACTTTAAGACAAAGAAACTTTCTGTTTGAAAGCAATACAATTTCATTTCATCTCATTTATTTTTAATTCCATGTGAAAATATTACTTTGTAGGCGGAATGGGTAGCCTTGAATTATGTACCGTTTGCTGAAAGGTCTTTGGAAGTTGTTGTGGATTTATACCAAAAAACAGCCTGTCACAAAGCAGTGGTGAATGAGAAAGTACTCCAGAATATCATTAAGGTATTTCTTTTAAAAAAAATGTTTATACTTTTATTTGATAATGACAGTATTATTGAAGTAACCCTTTAGATAATAATGTTTTATCATATAATGAAAATACAATTTATATTATTACTTATAGTGACTTTTCTCCAGTGTTCATGGATAATACTTAGAAACCTGTTTATCTGAAGTATGAAGTTTTTAAAATGAAGACTATTAAGTGAATATGCATTAGATTTTTTGCAATTCCTAAATTTTGTCACATAAGACAATGAGTTGAGGGTCCTGTTTCTTAGGATGATACTTCTCCTACTTTGATGTTGAACATTCAGGGAGAAATTCACAATTCAGCCCATTGATTCAATTGATCATGCATAATTTTAATAGTCATTTTTACTTTTCAATTAGAATAGATATACAATGTTATGTTAGTTTCCGGTGTTGACAGTTATTTTAAAAATTCATCTCTTCTTGACTGTGTCCATTCTCCAAAAGCTTATTTCTTGTTTTTTCCTCTGTCTCTCTCTGTCTTCCTCACCCTTCCCCTCTCTCTAAAAATCAATAAAAACCTTTTTTTTAAGTGTTGTTACTTTTTCAGGGTCACTGGAGATAGGATTTAAAAGTATATTTTTCTAGGCAGTAGGATTTGAAGACTATAATGGAGAATTGGTCTTTCTAGAAAATAACATCCTTCTTTAAATGAAATTCCTATGCTATTATTTTTTCTCTTATAATTTTAAAAAAATAAAGTTGTGTGTACAAATTTTAATGAATACTTATCTTAAATTGTCTTTATTTTCACAGACCCTTAGGGTTCCTCTCAGTTTGAAGTATTCCTGCCCTTCTGAAAGCACATGGAAACTGGCAGTATCTTCTCTCCTCAAAGTTCTTTCTATCGGGGCTGCCGGTTGCCCGGCAGCATGCTTCTTCTGGAAAATTTGACAGTATGTGGCCAGAACTAGCCAATACTTTTGAAGACTTTCTTTTTACTAAAAGGTCAGTTAGGACAATCTTTAAAGAAGTGTATACTATGCCTGTAATTGCTTTAAAAATAGTATTTCTAATTATTCATTAAAGTAATTGATTATTGAGAATCATAGCTTATATACAAAGCACAGCTGGATTAGGCATTTATCCATTTAGTACATCATCTGTGAGCAATGGAGATTTTGTACTTTACAATTATTTCGGTAGTAAGATAGGAATCAATATATATAAAAGCCTAAGCAACTGTCCAACTGTTGGACTGTTGGACCGTTCGACAGGTAGCTGTGATGCAGAAGACCACCGGGGGGCAGACGCTCAACGCACAGGCATGGAAACATGGAACAGACTGATGAATCTCAGAGGGAAGGGGGGAGGAGGGAGGGCGTGAAGAGATTAACCAAAGATCTTATATGCATACTAGTGTCCAGGTACATGGATTCGTGCACTGGTAGGGTCCCTCGGCCTGGCCTGTGGGGATAAGGCTGAAATGGGCCTGGTGCACGGATTCGTGCCCCAGTGGCCTGGCCTGCAGGGATTGGGCCGAAACCAGCAGTCCAGACATCCCCCAAGGGGTCCTGGATTACGAGAGGGCACAGGCCAGACCAAGGGACCCCGCCAGTGCATGAATCCATGCACTTGGCCTCTAGTCCAGTGGTCAGCAAACTGCAGCCCCTTGAGTGTGGCTCTTCCACAAAATACCATGTGCGGGCGTGCACATACAGTGCAATTGAAACTTTGTAGCCACACTCAAGGGGCCAAAGAGCCGCATGTGGCTCTTGAGCCGCAGTTTGCCAACCACTGCTCTAGTCCTAGCTAATAAAGAGGGAATATGCTAATTGACCCTCACGCCGTCACAAAGATGGCGGTGCCCGCAGCCAATAGGAGAAAATATGCTAATTGACTGCCCCGCCCTCAAAGATGGCGGCACCCACAGCCAATAAGGAGGGAATATGCTAATTGCTGCCATGCCCTCCAAGATGGTGGTGCCCACAGCCACAAGATGGCGGCAGCCAGTCCCCTCAACCCCACCAGGGCGGCAGGTGTGTGGCAAGGCCGGACCCACCCCCAGGTGGGCCCGGCCACGCTATGCGCCTGCCTCCGGAGTCCCCCAGTCCCCTCAGCCGCCCAGGGCCAGCCCAGGGCGCAGGCAAACTTCAGATGGCGGCTGCCCACCTGCCCAGAGCCCAGAGCTGCCCGAGGCTCAGGTAACCAGGGCCGGCTGAGGCCGGCAGTGGTAGCAGCAGAGGAGCAGAGGTGTGATGGGGCATCGCCTTCCCCTGATCGCCGGGTCACCTCCCGCCCCTGAGGGCTCCTGCACTGTGAGAGAGGGCAGGCCAGGCTGAGGGACCCCCCCTCCAGTGCATGAATTTTCATGCACCAGGCCTCTAGTCTGTATATAAGACTATGTGAATGCATCCTACCATGGTTTTGACTTGATGAAGCCAAGAAGGTCCATTTTTTAAAACCATGCCCATTTGGCATTACACAGAGAAAGCAATTTTAGAAAATCAGTGTTTTACCAGAATAAATATGATCAGTGGCAGTAATGATCAGTTCTTTAATATATTTAGGTTTGGCTGTTCTTAAACAATTAAAAACATAAATACAGTAGTCTCCCTTATCCACGGGGGTACATTCCAAGACTCCCTGAAACCACAGATAGTACCAACCCAATATACTATGTTTTGTCCTGTACATACATACCTATGATAGAGTATAATTTATAAATTAGGCACATTAAGAGATTAACAATAGCTTATAAGAAAAAAGAACAATTACAATAATATACTGAAATAAAAATTAGGTGAATAAGATTTTTTTAAAAGATGGTAGGTTTGGCAAAGAAAAATGGAATTTTCATTGTGTGATATTCAACTGAGGGCATAAGTTAAGGATGCTCTTTTGACCCCTCACTGAGAGTGGGATAATTGGAACACAGACTAAATATTTTGAATAAGGAATCTGCTGCTGTCTATCTAGAGCTGTACTATCCAATGCAGTAGTCACTAGCTGTGGTTAATTAAAATTTTTAACTAAGTAAAATTAAAAGTTCAGTTTAGTCTCACTAGCAAGGATTCAAATTCTTATTGCCATATGTGACTAGTGGCTGCCATGTTGGACAGTGCAGATTATTGAACATTTCCATCCTCATAGAAAGTTCGTTTGGGCAACACTGATCTAAAATGTGACATTTTACTATCAATGAACTTATGTAATAGCTGTGGATAGCCAGGTAGTCTTAAGTTTTACATCTAGTTTTCCTTTTTTTTTTCTACAATGTAATTGTCTTTTGTACTATGATAGTGAAATCCTATGACAATGGAAAATTTTCTATTTTTATATCCTTTCATCATTTTTAAAGCCTATAGAATGATAAACATAGCATACACAGCTATGTAACCTTATAAAATTATTAGCTTGTAATTATTTAAATAATGAATTTGAGGTACTTTGAGAAAAAAAACTACATTAGTACACTGATAATGGTCAGATGAATCCACAACAGAATGATTTAACTGAAGAGATTATGTTTTCTAATGTTGTTATTTAGTAAAAAAAATAGGTATAAACAGGAACAGACTCATAGATACAGAGAACAAACTGATGGTTGCCAGATGGGCATGGAGTTAAGGAGCTGGGTGAAAAAAGTGAAGAGATTAAGTACAAATTGGTAGTTACAAAATAGTCATGGGGATGTAAGTACAGCGTAAGCATATAGTTAATAATCTATAATAATAAAAGCATAATATGCTAATTAGACTAGATGTCCTTCCGTGCTAATTAGACTAGATATCAGGGGCTGCGAGGGAAGCCCGGGTCCCGGATGCCAGAGGGAAGCCCGGGTCCCGGATGCCAGAGGGAAGCCAATGCCGACAGCTGGGGAAAGGAAGGCCTACTCTTGCACGAATTTCGTGCATCGGGCCTCTAGTATTGTAATAACTATGTATAGTGCCAGGTGGGTAATACTAGAATTATGGGGGATCACTTTGTAAAGTATATAAATGTCTAAACACTATGCTATACACCTGAAACTAATCTATATATATAAAAGCTTAAGCGACCATCTGACCTTTTGACCGTCTGACTGGTAGCTCTGACACGCAATGACCACCAGGGGGCAGATGCTCCAACCAGTAGCTATGATGTGCACTGACCACCATGGGGCAGACGCCCAACATAGGAGCTGCTGAGCTGCGGTGACTTGGCAGCTGCAGTTCTCAGGTGACACACCCGGAACCAGAGAGGAGAGAGCCTGATTCCAGGGTGCGTCACCCAAGAACAGCCCTCTCGCAATCCAGGATCCCTCAGGGGATGTCAGAGAGCCGGTTTCAGCCTGATCCCTACAGGCCAGGCCAAGGGACCCCACTGGTGCATGAATCCATGCACTGGGCCTCTAGTATAAAATAATATTGAATGTCAAGTTTAATTGAAAAATTAAAAAGAAAATGCCCTGCCCAGTTTCTCTTAGTGCTTAGAGCAGTGATGGCGAACCTTTTGAGCTCGGCATGTCAGCATTTTGAAAAACCCTAACTTAACTCTGGTGCCATGTCACATATAGAAATTTTTTGATATTTGCAACCATAGTAAAACAAAGACTTATATTTTTGATATTTATTTTATATATTTAAATGCCATTTAACAACGAAAAATCAACCAAAAAAATGAGTTCGCGTGTCACCTCTGACACGTGTGTCATAGGTTCGCCATCACTGGCTTAGAGCATCATTTCTCGGACTGAAGAGTCTCGGGTTTGATTGCCAGTTAAGGGCACATACCTGGGTTGCTGGTTCAATCCCCATCCCTAGTCCCGGTGAGGGCATGTGGGAAGCAACCGATCGATATGTCTCGTTCACATCATCTCTCTCTCTCTCTCTCTCTCTCTCTCTCTCTCTCTCTCTCTCTCTTGTTCTTTCCTCCCCTCTCTAAAAATCAATGGAAAAAATATTCTTAGGTGAGGATTAACTAACTAACTAAATAATTAAAAATGGCAGAGTGCAGAAGGGTTAACTTACATTTTTCTCTGTAAAAGCTTCTCTGATATTTCAGAATTCAAACTGACATATGATTCTAATTTCTGTTTTTGAAAATGGTCAGACTTTGTTTTGCTTTCTTATGTATTTTTCACTTCTAGAAATTTTATTGATACCAATGCAAACATATTCTTTGTATTTGCAGGAAACAAATTATGTTTTTATCTTTAAAATAACACTGAAAATTTTAATTCCTTTGTGGATTCATTGCCCAAATCTTGATGTTAATTTATATAAAACGAGTAGATTTATAAATTTAAACTTTTTCCCTTTTTCTCTAATTATCTGTCTGTGTATGCATGTTGCCTTAATAATAAACTGAATAAGCTTTTTTTTTTAAATTGAAGTAACATTGGTAAATGGTAACATTGGTACATTATGTAAATTTCAGATGTACAACATTACAATTTGTTATCTGTATACATTATAAATAACATGTTCACCACCAAAAATAGTTTCCACCTGTCAGTATACATTTGACCCTTATTAACCATTTTGCCTCCCCCTCCACCTTCTTTCCCCTTTGATAACCACCAGTCTGTTGTCCTTATCTTTGAGTTTGTTTTTGTTTGTTGTTTCTTTTTTTTCTTTACGTTCTATATGAGTGAAATCATACAATTTTCTATCTGACTTACTTTACTTAGCATAATACTCTCAAGTCCATCTGTGTCGTAAAAGGCAATATTTCATCTTTTTTATAGCCAAGTAGTATTCAGGTGTGTGTGTGTGTTTGTGCGTGCGCACGTACCAAATCTTTAGTCATCTGTTGATGAACAGTTTATTTAGGTATCTGTGCTATAGTAAATAATGCTGCAATAAACATGGGGGTACATATATATTTTTGAATTTGTGTTTTCATAATCTTTTTTTAATAGATATTTTTATTGATTTCAGAGAGGAAGGGAGAGGGATAGAGAGATAGAAACATCAATGATGAGAGAGAATCATTGATCAGCTACCTCCTGCATGCCCCCACAC